ATGAAATCAAGATAGAAATTAAAATTGTTTGGAATGATTGATAACAGTGACAGAAGTTATCAAAATCTCAGATACAGCAAAAGCAATACTAAGAGGGAAGTTTGTAGTGCCAAATACCTTCATCAAAAAGACAGATCACAAATTGACAATGTAATAATATCACACCTCAAGGAACTAAAAAAACAGGAAGAAACCAAACCCAAAGCTAGCAGAAGAAAAGAAATAACAAAGAACAGAACTAAACCAAATTGAAACCAAAAAATACAAAGGATCAATAAAATTAAAAGTTGTTTCTTTGAAACGATAAACAAAAATGATAGACCAGTAGCTAGATTAGCTGTGAGAGGATTCAAGTAAACTTAGTCAAAAATGAAAAGGGAGATACCATAACTGATACCACAGAAATACAAAAGATCATCTGAGACTACTGTGAACACTTATATGTATACAAACCAGAAAATCTAGATGAACTGAATAAATTCCTGGAACACACGACCCCCCAAGCTTGAACCAGGAACAAACAGAAATCTTGAACAGACCAATAGCAAGTAGTTTGACTGAATAGTGATTTAAAAAATCTCCCAACCAAAACATCCCAGGTCCAGATGGATTCACAGCCAAATTCTACCAGACATTCAAAGAACTGATACCAATTCTACTGGAACTATTCCAAAAGATCAAGAAGGAAGGAATCCTCTCTAACTCATTCTACAAAGCCAGTCTCAGCCTGATGCCAAAGCCAGGAAAGGACACAACAAAAAAAGAAAACTGCAGACCAGTATCCCTGATGAACATAGATGCAAAAGTCCTCAACAAAGTACTAGCAAAACCAAACTGAACAGCATATCAAAAAGATAATTCAGCACAATCAAGTGGGTTTCATCCCAATGAGGCAAGGATGGCTCAGCATACACAAGTCAATAAATGTGATTCACCACATAAACCAAATTAAAAACCCTATGATCATTTCAATAGATGTAGAAAAAGCATTTGATAAAATCCTGTATCCCTTTGTGGTAAAAACCCTCAACAAATTAGGCATAGAAAGAACGTACCTCAAAATAATAAAAGCCATATATGACAAACTCACAGCCACTATCATACTGAAGAGAGAAAAGCTGAAAGCATTCCCCCTCAGAACTGGAATGAGGCTGGGCACAGTGGCTCATGCTTGTAATCCCAGAGCTTTGGGAGGCCAATTCAGGAAGATCACTTGAGTCCAGGAGTTCCAGACCAGCTTGGGCAATATAGTGGGACTCTTTCTCTAAAAAAATTTTAAAATTTGCTGGCCATGAAGATACATGCTTATAGTCCTAGTTACTCAAGAAGTTGAGGTGGGAGTTCAGGAGTTCAAGGTTACAGTGAGTTATGATCATGCCATTGCACTCCAGCCTGGACAATACAGTGAAACCCTCTCTTTAAAAAAAAGAAAATAAGAAAATAATTTCTTTTTTTTTTTTTTTGAGATGGAGTCTCGCTCTGTCACCCAGGCTGGAGTTCAGTGGCATGATCTTGGCTCACCACAAGCTCTGCCTCCTGGGTTCACGCCATTCTCCTGCCTCAGTCTCCCGAGTAGCTGAGACTACAGGTGCTCACCACCATGCCCAGCTAATTTTTGTATTTTTAGTAGAGATGGGGTTTCACCGCGTTAGCCAGGATGGTCTTGATCTTCTGACCTTGTGATCCGCCTGCCTCGGTCTCCCAAAGTGCGTGAGCCACTGCGCCCGGCCAAGAAAATAATTTCTTAATGTAGTTCCTTTTGTTAGATCCCAGTGAGGTAAATGTGGCAAAAAGCCCAAAGGAAAAGATTTTTTGTGTGTGAATATGTGGAATGTCTCCATTGACATAAGATGCTTTTTCTAATATAAGTTTATATTTGTAGTTGACAATGTAATGAAAGTTAGAGATGTTCAGTGAGCATCTATAATATTCAAGGATAACATCAATCACAGAAGGCAACTGTCATGTTTTCCTACAATTATCCGATTGTCAGAGTGAATAGTAAGCTAGGTGGATTGACTCTGTAATGTATTTCACATCTTTTTATGTAAGAGCATCTGACTCTTCATTTATTTTAGAACTGAAGGAATATGTGTTGTAGCAAGAAGACACAGCTACCGATAAAATCCTTATCTAAAGAATTATTAGGCTGGGCGTAGGGGCTCACACTTGTAATTCCAGCACTTTGGGAGGTTGAGGCTGGTGGATCACCTGAGGTCAGGAGTTCAAGACCAACCTGACCAACATGGCAAAACCCCGTCTCTACTAAAAATACAAAAATTAGCCAGATGTGGTGGTACGCATCTGTAGTCCCAGCTACTTGGGAGGCTGAGGCAGGAGAATTGCCTGAACCTGGGAGGTGGAGGTTGCAGTGAGCCAAGATCCCACCAGTGTACTCCAGCTTGGGTGACAGTCTCAAAAAAAAAAACCCACAAAGAATTGTTAGATAATGTATTTTCTGCTAGGAAGTTAATTTAGGGAAGCAATACCTGAAGATTAAGGCAGAAAATGCCCACCTACTTCTCTTTTCTATTAGATGAATATACCTTGTCAGTAGAGGGCTGACAATGTCAGAGATTGAATGAATAAGTGTAACACACACACACACACACCCCGTCTCCCTATACATGAAATAGAGAACCAGGGATGTGTGGAGAATTGGGTCAAAAGCAAGAATATGTGAGAGGAAAGGGCCTCATAAACTTCTGTTAAGCAAATTGCTCCCTTTCGTATATGTAAGGTTACTACAAAAATGGAAGGGGAATAAAAGTTTCTCTCACTGAAGAAAAGTGGGGGCCAGGCGCGGTGGCTCATGACTGTAATCCCAGCACTTCGGGAGGCCGAGGTGGGTGGATCACCTGAGGTTAGGAGTTCGAGACCAGCCTGGCCAACATGGCGAAACCCCATCTCTACTAAAAATACAAAAAAAATTAGCTGGGCATGGTGGTGGGTGCCTGTAATCCAGCTACTCAGGAGGCTGAGGCAGGAGAATCATTTGAACCTGAGAGGTGGAGGCTGCAGTGAGTCAAGATCGCACCACTGCACTCCAGCCTGGGCAACAGATAAAGGCTCCCTCTCAAAAGAAAAAAGAAAAGTGGGAATGTTTCTCTTAATATGTAAATCTTGGCTGGGTGCAGTGGCTCACACCTGTAATCCCACCACTTTGGGAGGCTGAGGCTGGTGGGTCACGAGGTCAGGAGATCGAGACCATCCTGGCTAACACGGTGAAACCCTGTCTCTACTAAAAACACAAAAAATTAGGTAGGCATAGTGGCATGTGCTTGTAGTCCCACCTACTCGGGAGGCTGAGGCAGGAGAATTGCTTGAACCCTGGAGGCAGAGGTTGCCATGAGCCAAGATCGTGCCATTGCACTCTGGCCTGGGCAACAGAGCGAGACTGTTTCAAACAAAAAACAAAAAACAAAAACCATGTAACTCTTCCCAAGCTTTTCTTCTTATTTTTACCTTTCTAAAATGTAGGGGAGATAATCTAAGTATTTTCATCCTATTCTGTTCACTGATCTTGGTAATCCAGGCTTCCAGCTATAAAACTCACCATAATCAAATATAGTATAAGGAAATTCCTTTGCTGGCTGTGTTGCTTAACGGCCTCTATAGTTCTGAGTAGGGTGATCACCTATCCCAGTTTTAGCACTGAAAGTCATCCATCCTGGGAAATGCCTCAGTACTGGACAAACCAGGACAGTTGGTCACTCTCATGCTGAGTTGGGGGGAAAGCATGTAAGAAGGGAAGAAACCAAGGAAAATGAGAAGTCCTGAGGTATGAAGAGAACTTTTTTTTCCTTTTGAAGCATATTTACTATAGCTAGGAAAATTGAAAATTAATTAGCTTGTATCAGTGTGCTTAGTAGTGAATTAGTGATTTGCTGCATTAAGGGTGAATATTAAGTAGGCCTCTGGCCAGGCACAGTAGCCTGTAATCCCAGCACTGTGGAGGCCGAGGTGGCAGGATCACTTGAGCCCAGAAGTTTGAGAACAGCCTGTAGAACAAAGTGAGACCCCGTCTCTACAAAAAATAATAAACAAACATCAGCCAGGTGTGGTGGCATGTGTCTGTAGTGTCTCAGCAACTTGGGAGGCTAAGGCAAGAAGATTGCTTGAGTCCAGGGGGTTGAGGCTGCAGTGAACCAAGATCATAGCAGTGTACTCTGGTCTGGGCAACAGAGTGAGACCCTGTCTATAAAAAACAAACAAACAAAAAGGTAGACCCCTGTGTTTACTCCTGCATTCTTCAGGACCCATACTAAAAGACATGTTGGGAAATAAGAATGCAGAATGCCATAATGGTTTTGAATCCTCTTGAACATAGAAGAATGTTTTGCCTTCAGTGGAGGGCTTTTGTTCTAAGATGCAGTCTCTTTCCTGCTGTAAGGTAACCTTATTTTAGGAAGTGGAGATACAAACTTTTTTTTTTTTTTTTGGAGACTAAGAGTCTTGCTTTGTAACCTAGGCTGGAGTGCAGTGGTACGATCTCAGCTCACTGCAACCTCTGCCTCCCAGGTTCAAGCAATTCTCTTGCCTCACCCTTTTGAGTAACTGGGACTACAGGCGTGTGCCATCACACCCAGCTAATTTTTGTATTTTTAGTAGAGATGGGGTTTCACCATGCTGGCCAGGCTGGTCTCAAACTCCTGACTTCAAGTGATCTGCCCATCTTGGACTTCCAAAGTGCTGAGATTACAGGCGCGAGCCACCACACCTGGCCACGACATTTTTACTTTCAAATATAGGGCCTTTATGCAATTGCAGACCACTGTAAACATTATTTGTCTGTGTCTATATTTGATACTTATACTCCAGCTCTGTTTTGATTAGCAAAAAAAAAAAGAAAAGAAAGAAAAATAAATATAGTTAATACTAAGAGTAAGACTTCCTGTAACATACTTGGCTGACCAATTTTGGGTTGTACTTTTGCCTTGGTGTCTCTCAACAAGCTTATCTTTCTTCCTTAGTCTTGTTCTTGGTTTCTTATCTTACAGAGAGGTGTGGGAAATGGAACTGGATAGACTCAAGAATCAGGATGGCGAAATAAATAGGAACATTATGGAAGAGACTGAACGGGCCTGGAAGGCAGAGGTGAGAAGAGGAGCTGATATCTTGAAAGTCTTAATTTCAGGCTTCCAGATGGTGTCTACTTTTGGCATAGTAATAGGAGAGCCAGTAAGCTTTTGTTTTCACTACCTAGGGGTAGCTTTGTGTATGTAAAATTAATAAAGTATTTATATGTGTGTGGCTTCCTTAGATCTTATCACTAGAGAGCCGGAAAGAGTTACTGGTACTGAAACTAGAAGAAGCAGAAAAGGAGGCAGAATTGCACCTTACTTACCTCAAGTAAGTACCGTTCCATTCTAGAGCTTTAATTGTCTTGCAGTTTGTTTGTTTGTTTGTTTAGGTTTTTTAATTCCTAGGCCAGGTAGTCTGGCACTTACTCTGTCTGCACAGGAATTTTAGGGCTGTCTCTGTCTGCAGTAGCAATTGCTCAGTGATTTTTCTTCCCACATTCTAAAGTTCTGTACTCTTCGCTTCTACAGTTTTAAAGTTTTGCATTTTTTAATGTTTTGTTTCCATTTGGATAAACACTATCTGTTAAAGCCAGATATAATAGCATGCTCCTGTAATCCCGCACTTTGGGAGGTCGAGGCAGGAGGATGACTTGTGCCCAGGAGGTTGAGGCTGCAGTGAGCTTTGATTGCACCACTGCACTCCAGCCTAGGCGACAGTGAGACCCTGTCTCTAAAAAATAAAAAATAACCAGCATCTGTTAACCTATCAGAGCATAACACTGGTCTTTGGAGATTCATTTCCTATGTAGTCATTTCTTTTCTTTCTGCCATGGAACTTGGAGGACCCCTGTGGCATTTTCAGGCAGACAAGAACGTTCTCTCTGTTGTTGGTTCTCTTCTCAAATACTTAAAAGATACTGGAGTTAAAGTGAGGCGAAGGAATTAGAGTCTTGAGCTTCTCCTGCACCTGCTTCCACCTCTTTTTCTCAACGGCAGTTAGCCAGCTACTATTTTGCTTTTGCTATCTCAGAGAATTAGGAATTGGACTTTTTTTTTTTTTTTTTTTTTAAGACAGAGTCTCCCTCTGTAGTGCAGTGGTACCATCTTGGCTCACTGCAGCCTCTGACTTCTGAGCACAAGCCATCCTCCTACCTCAGCCTCCCAAGTAGCTGGGACTATAGGCGCGAGCCACCACACCTGGCTAATTTTGCATTTTTTTAAGAGACAGGGTTTAGCCACATTGCCTAGGCTGGTCTGGAACTCCTGAGCTCAAGTGATCTGCCCACCTTGGCCTCTCAAAGTGCTGGGATTACAGGCGTGAGTCACTGTGCCCAGCAGGGCTTTCTTTAAATCTGTAAATTCCTGTTGGTTTCTTGAAAGGTCAACTCCCCCAACACTGGAGACAGTTCGTTCCAAACAGGAGTGGGAGACAAGACTGAATGGAGTTCGGATAATGAAAAAGAATGTTCGTGTAAGTGTATTTATGAGTCATCATTCAGTCAGTGTTAGTCTGTGCTCAACACTTCCCGCAATCGGGAGATAGCCTTTTACATTGCCATTTAGGGCAATGCAACTACTATTCGTTTAATAGTTTTCCTGATAATGGATGGTGCTGTCTTTCTAGAGAGCCTTAGTCAGTTCAGCAGTAAAAATATCTTCTTTTTTTTTTTTTTAGGACCAATTTAATAGTCATATCCAGTTAGTGAGGAATGGAGCCAAGCTGAGCAGCCTTCCTCAAATCCCTACTCCCACTTTACCTCCACCCCCATCAGAGGTAAGAGAGCTGGCTTTGGGGGGAAGTTCACCTTTCTGTGTTGGTAGCAGAAGCAGAGTCTTCTACGTGTTCTTTTTATGAAGATATTGGGATCATCCCTATTCACTGCAAGAGTTGTTCATTGATTTCTTCTCCAGTTTCGTAAACTTTCTTTTTTTTCCTTTCTCTCTTGTCCTCTACCTCTTCTCCTCTGCAGACAGACTTCATGCTTCAGGTGTTCCAACCCAGTCCCTCTCTGGCTCCTCGGATGCCCTTCTCCATTGGGCAGGTCACAATGCCCATGGTTATGCCCAGTGCAGATCCCCGCTCCTTGTCTTTCCCAATTCTGAACCCTGCCCTTTCCCAGCCCAACCAGCCTTCCTCATCCCTTCCTGGCTCCCATGGCAGAAACAGCCCTGGCTTGGGTTCCCTTGTCAGCCCCCACGGTCCACACATGCCCCCTGCCGCCTCCATCCCGCCTCCCCCAGGCTTGGGCGGTGTTAAGGCTTCTACTGAAACTCCCCGGCCCCAGCCAGTAGACAAACTGGAGAAGATCCTGGAGAAGCTGCTGACTCGGTTCCCACAGTGCAATAAGTAAGTATCTTCAAGGACTGATTCAGGTGTCTTTATCAGAGAAATGCTTATGGGTTAAAATAGAGGAGGTTACATGGGTGTTCCCTGTGGGTATAGTGTAGGCTTTCTGTCCCTCAACGTTTTTCTTTCTCAGGGCCCAGATGACCAACATTCTTCAGCAGATCAAGACAGCACGTACCACCATGGCAGGCCTGACTATGGAGGAACTTATCCAGTTGGTTGCTGCACGACTGGCAGAGCATGAGCGGGTGGCAGCAAGTACTCAGGTGAGAAAAGCCACTTGGGAGAGAACTGAGGCCTGCTGAGGGCTGGGGAAGAGGTAGATTTCTTGTGGGGAGGGAAGAAGCATTCCAGTCAGAGGTGGCTAGTCTGCTTTTTTCCTTTGCTGGACTGGGAAATAAGTGATTTTTGTGATATGCTGTGTTACTCAGACTCTCTTCCCTTACTCTGACAATGTTTCTACCTACAGCCACTTGGTCGCATCCGGGCCTTGTTCCCTGCTCCACTGGCTCAAATCAGTACTCCAATGTTCTTGCCTTCTGCCCAAGTTTCATATCCTGGAAGGTCTTCACATGTAAGACTCTTTTTCTTTGAACACTGTGATATGGAGAAGCTGGAGGTGAGGAAGGAGTGGGTTTACAGGTGGAGTGCAGGAAGAAACCATCAGTTGGGTTATTTGCAGTCCTACTGGGAAAATGCAAATATTTTAGGCAAGAATCTATATTTGGATTTTTATTTATTTTGATATAAATCTTTTTGCTACATGGAATTATGGGCATAAAAGGCAAGAAGACCCAGAGGTTCCTTACCTTTTGACCATGCCGCCTCTGTTCTGCAGGCTCCAGCCACCTGTAAGCTATGTCTAATGTGCCAGAAACTCGTCCAGCCCAGTGAGCTGCATCCAATGGCGTGTACCCATGTATTGCACAAGGAGGTAGGTGTTACAGACCTTCCTCATTGTCTACACTTTCTCTTCTGACAGCTAAAATAATTTTTCTTTCTCATTTTCTACTCTTTTTTTCCTGATAGCTAAAATAACTTCTCTTTTACTGTGTTGGTGCTTTTTTTTTTTTTTTTTTAGACAGAATCTTGCTCTGTTGCCCAGGCTGGAGTGCAATGGTGTGATCTCAGCTCACTGCAACCTCCACCTCTCAGGTTCAAGTGATTCTTCTGCCTCAGCCTCCTGAGTAGCTGGGACTACAGGCGCCTGCCAACACGCCTGGCTAATTTTTGTGTTTTTAGTAGAGACGGGGTTTCACCATATTGGCCAGGCTGGTCTCAAACTCCTGACCTTGTGATCCGCCCATCTCGGCCTCCCAAAGTGTTGGGAGTACAGGCGTGAGCTACCGTGCCCAGCCTTTTTTTGTTTGTCTTTTGAGACAGCCTTTTTTTGTTTGTCTTTTTATTCTGTTGCCCAGCCTGGAATGCAGTGGCGTGATTATAGCTCACTACAGCCTCAATCTCCTAGGCTCAAGGTGCTTCAGTCTCTTGAGTAGCTGAGACTACAGGTACATGCCATCATGCCCAGCTAATTTTTTTTTCTTTTTTAGTAGAGACAAGGTCTTGTTATGTTGCCTAGGCTGTCTCAAACTCCTGGGCTCAGGTGATCCTCCTGCCTCAGCCTCCCGAAGTGCTGGGATTACATGTGTGAGCCACTGCACCTGGTCTCTAATGTCTACTCATAAGGTTTTCAGTAAATTGTGGCTTAAACATTAACAGAATTCAGAATACTGCAGTTAGGATCTCTCAACTTTTTACCCCATTCCCTTCAGGGGACTAGATGAGCAATTCATACTGAGCACTAAATCACTTTCCTGGAAAATTGACAATGAGTGATAATCCCACATATCTAACTATTGTTCAAAATATAGCATTGTCAGAAGACTTTGCCTAGATGAGAGGAATGGAATGGAGGACCTGAGTATGAGATTAGGAACTCCATTACAGAATAGCTTGGAAGGCTTGCCGGTTAGAGATTATCTTCACAGGCTGACAAGTCATTCCTATTTTTTCATGTTGCCAGGCAGAGTTAAGTCTCTTAGTAGCAGGAATGATTTCCTCTTAACCATTTTGTTTTGTTCATTTTGCTTTTCCAAGAGGTAGAAACTGAATTTACATCTAAATTCTTAGTAAGAAAAATTCCTGAATAAGATTTGAGGGTGTCAGGTATTAGAACAGAGACGTTCATCTCAGGCGAAATGGATCCTAAGGGGGGCAAGCCGCACTAGACATTCAACAAAAAGCAGCATCATGAACACTTTCATCAGCTCATTGTTAATGTTCCTCTTAAAAAGGTTCACTTGCACTGAGGATTCTTTTAGGGTAAGAGCCATTGAATAGCCCTTCTTGGGGCCGGACGCGGTGACTCACACCTGTAATCCCAGCACTTTGGGAGGCTGAGGCAGGCAGATCACTTGAGGCCAGAGTTTGAGACCAGCCTGGCCAACAAAGTGAAACCCCATCTCTACTAAAAATACAAAAATTAGCCGGGAATGGTGGTGGATGCCTGCCTGTAATCCCAGCTACTCGGGAGGCTGAGGCAGGAGAATAGCTTGAACCCAGGAAGCAGAGGTTCCAGTGAGCTGAGATCGCACCACTGCATTCCAGCCTGGTCAATAGAGTGAGACTCTGTCTCAAAAAGAAAAAAAAGAAAAAAGAAGAAAAAGCCCCTCTTGTACCTCAGTGTAAGAACTTTTCTGACTTAGGCCTTGTTGAACCTTATTGGCATTCTCTCCTTCCTTCCCTTTGTCTTTCCAGATAAACCTGAGGTGTGTCTTTCTTTCTTTCCAGTGTATAAAATTCTGGGCCCAGACCAACACAAATGACACTTGTCCCTTTTGTCCAACTCTTAAATGACGGACCTGACTGGGGAGGAAGAAGAAGAGAAACTGATGTGAACAGGAAGCGCGGGTTCAAGATTTCTAAAACTCTATATTTATACAGTGACATATACTCATGCCATGTACATTTTTATTATATAGGTAATGTGTGTATAGAAAGTCTGTATTCCAATGTTCGTAAATGAAAGTATGTATATTATGCAGAAACAGTCTGTTCCCCCTCATCTTGCAATTCCTTTGGGGGATGCAGATTGTAGGGAAGATGATGTTTAGTTTGGCCTTGAAATTATGATATCCCTGCCCAGGGCTGTTTTCAAATACAATATAAAAACCACCTAGGAACCTGCTGTTGCTCTAAGGCCATTCTGCTTTGGTTTGGCTCAGCCTCTAGTCCATTTTCTTAAGGCTCATGTATGCAGATTTAAAGCCTGGTGCTCACCCACTGTCCAACCAGATGCCTTGCTTACTGAAAGCCTCCAGAAGCCTCAGTATTGTTTTAGCCACTCTACTCCAAATGGATAAAATGAGACTCTGATTGAGGAAAAAAAAGTAACCCTGGTAGTTTGACTTCTTATTGAATATTTTACTGTGTTAACGCTCATTATTTATACAGACGTTAGGTTTACAGAATATTCTGTTTTACATCACCAAAATTCACAGTCCGAGAATAACAACATAACCAGGTCCCAGTTCCTCCATGCACCCCACAAGCTTCTGTCCAGTCTATTTTCTGGATAGAAATTAGCACAACCCACAGGTTTTTCCTGGGCCAAGCCTTCCTTTGCCGCCACTGGCTTGGCTTCTAATCAAGCTCTGACCAGCCAACATTGTGAAGTCCTCACCCTTTCCCATTCACTTCTGGTCTCCTAGTCTAGCTAATCCCCCTCCCCCTGAAGGTTAAGGCAGTTGGTTCACAACCAAGTTGTTTGGTGACCTTGGGTGAGCTCCAGACAGGCACTGGGGTGAGGAGATGTCTGTGCAAAATTACTTGCAGAATGATCTTGGGATGCTGGATTTTAATTTTTGAAGCAAGAAAGTTATGGGGGACATATTTCCTGTCCTGGGAACAATGGAGACCAAAGTGATATTAAGAAAACAGTTTGGATTTCAAATTTATAAATCACTTGCTCTATGGGTAGCTATCAGGAACTAGATCATTTTCCACCTCTGCTTGTCGTACTTCTTAATTTTAGGTTTTATACCTGGGAAAGCTGTGACTCTGTTAGAGCTTTGAATCTTTTCCTATCCTTTTATCTTTACTCCTACAGGGAATGGCCTCAGCTCCCTTCTCTTTTAGAATTAAACAAGTAAAAACTAAGAGTTAACTTTTTAAAAAAACTGACTCCAGGCAAAGGACTACCAATAGCTGATTTTTTTTTTTCCATTATGGGACCTAAAATGCTTACAGGTATTAGCAATACATGTCAGATAGCAAAGACTTTTCCTTTCAGACCCAACTAAATGATCTCCTCTCTGCTTTTGATACTCTTCTCCTTCTTTCTCTTTCATCCCTGCCTGTCACCTCACAGATGGATTCTTTCTCATTTCTCTTGCCTCACTTGCCCAGGTTTATTGACTAGCATCAGTTTAAGGAGCTGGACTTCCTGGGACCTCCTTGGCATCTTTTAGGGTGATTGGAGTGGCCTGAGTACTCAGCTCTTCAGAGGTCAGGTGACCCACTTTCTTTGGTTAATGAAATGTTACTGTCTCCAGGTTAGTAGCTGTCATGAACAGGAAAGGTGGCAAAATGGAAGACCAGTTCCATTGTTCTTTTCGTTTAGGGGATTCGTTTTTTATCTTGTAATCTTAAGATTTCCTCTCCCCTCAACTTTATAGCAGCCTTAGGCCACCTGCCGTATTTTTCAGTATCCCCTGAAAATTTAGAAATTGGAAATGAGTGTAAAGCATATTGTTTCTTTTTCAAAATCCTCAGAAGCCAAAGGAGTAAAGAAAGAAAAAAGGAAGTGGTGAGGAGGAGGCTTAACTGCTTCCCAGTAAAGACCCTGGAAAGCCCATTCTAGCAGGATAAGTGTTTTGGAGAGTTGTGCATGGGAGCGAGTGCCTCAGTGTTACTCTTTCTTGTTCAGGATCAGTCAGAAAGCAACACAAGTGTTGGCCACCCCTGTTCTCCCTTCTCCCTCTGTCCACTGGCCTGCAATGGTAAAAGCCATGCAGACCAATGGGAAAGGCCCCAAATACAGTGAGTGGAGAATGGGACAGTCATTTTTCAGGAGAATTTAAAAATAGAGATGTATAATACATATTTTTACAAGCAAGAAGCTGTTAAGACTTTTTTTTTACACTTATAGTTTTGGGGTAGGAAGGAAGTAACTGTAAAAAGAAAAACAAGTACAGGTTTTCTTTAAAAAAAATAATAGGCTGATGGGACTTGCTATTGAAGGGGTTGAATTTGATGCCCTGGAAAGGGCTGGGAAAAAGCCAGTTTTTCCCAACATGGGTAGAAATTATAAAGCAGAATGTGGCATTTTCACTTCATGGTAGCAGTTCTGGAAGTTTATTTACACAGTAAGTTCCGAGCTAGAAGTGGACAGTCTCCAGTCTTCCTGTCAGGCTCTGTAGTTATGGGGTGTTCCCAGTCAGCCAAAGCAGCACCAAGTGCAGTGGGAATGAAGAGAACCCAGATAAAAAACTGACTCAGTATTCTTGTTTTATTGGTTTATGGCTTGTGGGCAGCTGGCTGAGGCCAGGAACACCAGAGGCCCTCCTTACATTTCCTTCTCCCTTATCAGGTAATTCCACACTTGGCAGGTCCCATACCTGGAAGCAGCGTGTTGACCAGATAGGAGTAGGATGCAGTGGGTATACCAGGAAAATCCAGCTCTTCCCACTAACACTGGTACCATAGTTTACTATGCTAGAACTGATAGGGAGGTAATGAACTTGGTCCCCACTACCTAGCCCAAGAACCAGCCTGGGTACCCACGTACCGTTAGGAGCCGGGAGGGGAGAGCAGGATGGCCTTCATCAAGGAGCTCTTGTGGTGGAGAACATAAGGAAGCCCTGAAGCTGCCATCCTTTCTCCAGGCAGCCTTGATACTGAAGGCAATGATGTTAGAGCCAGAAAGCACTGTATTTCTCATACTCCTGGTATAATACTAGTGCCACTGTGTGATGCTTTAGTCAAATAAATGGAGGGGCCATTAGAGAGGGCAGGAAGGCAATGAAACCACTCTGAATTATGTAAAGATCTTGCTACTTCTTATAGCCTAATAGGAAGAAATCCAGGCAGGGGTTATAGGGCATCAGCTGTTGAATGAATCTTCAACATTATGCTTTTAAGGATTAGGAGGAAGAGGTCTCCTACCTGTTCCTTTTAGCACCTTGGCTGCAAAGCTCCAGAGGAAGATTTGGGGGAAAGAGTGAACCTGTGACCAGGAAGACAGAGCCCAGCCCTGCTATATAGTCCAGTTGCTCTCTCACAGGGCACCTGGAGCTTAGGGGGTTAGGATATTTCGGTGCTACCTATCATATGTAGAATAAGGGTTCAGGTAGAGACAAGTGAAATTAATATGGTAGAAATTCATGTGTTAAGTGGAACTTTTTAGTGGGCACTTCATTTAAGAGAGCTAAAAAAAGAGCTCTTTGGCTAGATAAGCCCTTCCCATCTCACTTTTGGTCAGGCTGCAACCACAGAAAAGAAAACATTGAAACAACACCCATCCTATGAGATGGGATGCTATCTTGGAGATGAGGTCTAAAACTAGGACTGGTGAGTGGTTGTGTTTCTGCTTTTCCTAGCTTCGATCCCACTATTCCCTGTCTTTGTACTCCCTCTCCTTCTCCTCTTTCCAACCGCCCCCATTTGTATAAATATTCAATCTAGTTTTTTTTTTTTTAATTCAAGAGGCAATCTTTGTACCAATGTTAGGCTTGTTTATACAGTCCCTGTCTCTAAAGCAAATAGCAAACTGTGCATCCTCTCCTACTGACTTTGGCCAGCGGGGAAACAAGCTTGGTCTCTTCTCTGCCAGGGTACCACAGGGACACACACCAGGGTAACCTGGGTGTGATGCCAGTACTTCTGAAACTAAGAAAAGAAGAATACTTTGGGTTGGAGAAGGAATGGTGGACAAAGGTTCAGGGCTGAAGTTTCAAGCAGCAGAATTTCCCAACTTAAATTTGAGGTGACCAACAGTATTCCCGCCACCAGAGTGCTTCTTTCTTCTCTTTTCTATTTCCTACAGGTACAGTCCCTGGAACCCACCTTGCCAGCCTTTTCCTTCTTCTCCATCAAGGCAGAGGCATTTGGTGGGTGGGGAGGGTCCTGAGGTGCTCTGGCCACAGGTGCCATCTGTGTCTCCTACTTGTGACCAAAGTGAACCACGGAGGTGTGGTCCAGGGGAATCTCTGTCTTCTGCCCATGGGCCTCCTCACTTCAGCAGGGAGATGTCATCAGCAAAGTCATCATGCTGCTGGCGCAGGCAGCGGAGGCAGCGCCACTGACACACCATGAGGCAGAGTGGCAGCATGAAGAGGGCGCAGATGGCAGCCATGACATAGGCTATGGTCATGAGGGTTGACTCATCTGTCTGTGGAATGTTGTAGCCACAGTCTTCCATGTCCGGGGTGACAAAAGGGCCTTCCACCGCTGCCGTCCTGAACTCATCGTGCACTGGTAAATGTGAATGGACAGCTGTCATTGTCATAGAGCAGTTTGGGTTACATAACAAAAAGAACTTCCTGATAGTGAGGCCTTGAAATTAGCCCATGCAGAAGCTATCCAATCTCCTTCCCAGGAGATATTTAGGAGCAGGCTGGGAAGCCAGCACCAAGTAGAGGCCTGTCTCCCCTCCCAAGTCACTGGGAGTAGCAGCCCTTCCTTGTATACCCAACCGATAGGAGTGATAACTACAACTACAACTCAGTAGTTCTGAATTGACCAAAAGCCACACCTAGTAAACTTAGTTTCTGCTGCTGAAATTCAACTGCAAAACCCTGCCATCTTTCTGAAGTAGCATTCAACCTCACCATGTGGCAGCTGACAGGGTCACTATAGGCTCAGCCTGCTGCCCTTGCATCAAGAGCTTCCCAAGGTACACAGGTAGCTCTTGCTGCTCTGGGTTTCCAGCAGAGGTTACCAATCCAGGCAGTGGTCATTATGGCAGGCAGTACAAAAAAAGGATGAGCATTGACACTACCTTTTGCACAATTGTTGACTTGGGTTTGAGGCAACTGTTACTACCCTCCTGTAAACTGACGGGCCCAGGTATACTAACTGTTGTTAGACAAGGAAAATATGGCGAGACTGACCCCAGACCCTCAGCCCTGGCACTCTCACCATGGCAAGCGCTGACAGCAAAGCCAATTCGTTTTCGGGCCCGATCAAAGACAACGTAGAAGCCCTCCATGATAACAGCTCCCATAACAGTGCCAGTGGATGACTGTGAGATGGCAAACTTGTAACAGTCGTCTTGGGACGTGGCCACATCTTCCACTGGCCGCAGGTATTGCTAGGGGTAAGCAATCACAGGGTGAGTGTCTTCCTCATTCCCCTTCACCCCATCTCTGCCTTGTAGGCATCTGTGCCCTTCCCTTTACCATCCCTGAGCTCTAACGGGTTTTCTAAGACCCCTTTACCACTTGACACTACTCATCTGTTTTGTCTTCCAAGTTCTGGCAAGCCATACCTGCTCACTGTCTCCCAGTGTGTACTTTCTTAAGAGAGATCCCCCCTGACTCAGGCTGGGACATACCTGCGGAAGGATGGTGATGCGGAAGGACTGGTTGGTAACCTCACCCATTAGGTAGAGTGAGATGACTGGGAAAATGTTCCAAGGGGTGGTGCCTGCTTGCCAGCACACCAGCTGCTCTCCTAGCCAGAAACCATCAGGGAACTTCTCTGTCTGCGTTGGCAAGAAGGAGTAACAATGAGGAAAAGACTCTTTATCATCTCACCCCTCCCATGTTCAGATACATTAACTGGGCCCTTCATTTGCTTTTCCAGTGAAATATCCAAAGTGGGGAGGGGTAAACCAACCAAAGAATTACAGGAAGAGAGTGGGAGTGTGATGTCAAACTTTTGTACCAGGGGGATCGTGTGATGAGCAAAGTGATAGCCATAAAGTGGGGGAAGAGTTTTTTTTTTTTTTTTTGTAAACAGAGTCTCACTCTGTTGCCCAGGCTGGAGTGCAGTGGTGCGATCATGGCTCACCGCAACCTCCACCTCCTGGGTTCAAGCGATTTTCCTGTCTCAGCCCCCCGAGTAGCTAGGATTACAGGCTCGCGCCACCACACCCAGCTAATTTTTGTACTTCTAGTAGAGATGGGGTTTCACCATGTTGGTCAGGCTGGTCTTGAACTCCTGACCTAGTGATCTGCCCACCTTGGCCTCCCAAAGTGCTGGGATTACGGGCGTGAACCACCATGCCTGGCTAGGGGAAGAGTGTTTTAAGAGCTCTGAGTAGAAGGGTCTAAGTGCAGACATCTTGGCTGTTGCTGAAGAATGTGACTCTCACCACCTCCCTCTGACACTGTACCATCTCTTTTACCCCCATCCTTAGTCCACTCACGGAGGAGGCTGCCTTGATGGATTTGACTGCAGCTTCAAACACTTTCTTGGGCAAACGAAGGTTGGTGGTGCCACTGTCCACAATGCTCTTGTCATAGTTGTACTAAGAGGGGAAAGAGAGAGGTAGAAGAGTCAAAAGGTTTTTGATGCTGGGCTCTGGGCAGTAGGGGGTTATTGCTGAGGCCGCGGCCGGGTTGGCATCTTGGCTTTGGCACCTCCTAAGTGTACCTGCTTGGACAAGTTAACTTCTGTGCTTCAGTTTCTTCATCTCTAAAGTGAGGATAAAAATAGTACCTACCTAAAAGGGTTATTGTAAGGATTAAATAAGTCAACCATTTAAAGCACTTAGAATTGTGCCCAGAAGATAGAAGGCACTTGGTAAATGTTTATTCTTGTTATCTTGGGTTGGCAGGTAGCCTCCAAACTTGAAAATAAAAATACCCTGTATAGTGCTTTTAACTTTTCTTCCTTTCTTTTTTTTTTTTTTTTTTTTTTTTTGAGACGGAGTCTGGCTCTGTCACCCAGGCTGGAGTGCAGTGGTGTGATCTTGGATCACTGTAACCTCTGCCTCCTGGGTTCAAACCATTCTTTTGCCTCAGCCTCCCAAGTAGCTGGGACTACAGGTGCCTGCCACCACACCTGGTTATTTTTAGTAGAGATGGGTTTCACCATGTTGGCCAGGCTGGTCTCGAATTCCTGACCTCAAATGATCTGCCCCGCCTTGGTCTCCCAAAGTGCTGGGATTACAGGTATGAGCCACCACGCCCGGCCGCTTTTAACTTTTCTTAGTACATTTATATCTATTCTAATTTAATGTACATAAGAATCTAGGGAAGGAAGACATAAATGATTTACCTTTTATTGAGTACTGCCAACCACAGAGATAAACACTTTATACATTATCTCTGATATTCTGAGCAAGTTGTTTTTACCTGTTTTGCAGATAAGGAAACTGAAACACAGAATAGTAACTGGCCTAAGGGTACATAGCTAGTAGAAATCAGAGCTACATTCAGATCTGGGTCTTCCTGACTCCAAAGACAGACCCTTCATTCTCTCACCCTGTCTCACAAAAGACTTGCCCAAGGCTACGAAGCAAGGCAGTGACTACAGTCCAGACATCAGAGCTAGTTCCATATATTTTTTTTCACTACCAGTTCCTAGGCCCCAAACCTCAGATCCTCCTGTGTGACCATTAAGCCCCTGACTGTTCTAGGCTCAACTTCCAACCCTTTCTGCAGGTCCTATTACTTCTGCCTCATCCTCTCAACATCATAACCAGAGGCTTCCTTCACATTGTACTGCCTACCCCTTTACGTCCCCTGGGTCTCCCTTGGTTTTATTACCTCCTTGCAGTCCATTTTCAGATCCTGTCCATTGATCTCCACCCGCACAATGATCACCTCATAATACCACTCCCGCCGGATGGGTGTATACCAGAGACTGCCTGTGTACAGCGAGTGGTCGATACCTCCAATGATCTAGGAGAAAAAAAAGGCAGGTACCTGTGTCCTGGCACGGAAGGACAGTGAGTCCCCCAAGGACCAAGCAATAAGATCAGTGATTTCTTGGGGTGGCAAGGTCTTCTACAGGCTACCCTTTTTTCATCTTCCTGCTTCTAAACAAATCATGCCCAAAGTGATACCTAGTTTCTTACATGTGTTCAGGAGAAAAGACTTTCCGGGATTTTTAATTATTTGTTTCAGAATCATACAGCCCTTGATATAAAGTTATTTAAATCTAAACTGCCACAATAAATGTTGAATGAATGGTTATTTGTTTATATTATAGGTTTTATTTTCTCTGCTTATTGGAGAACCATTCACCGTTGTTCTAATTAATTAATAAATAGACAAACTTCTTTATATCTCTGCCTTCTGACCATCAAACTGAATAATTTAAATTCAACAGGTCTTATTTTCATTTCCTTTGAAATTTTCCTAATTGCCTTCCTTTCTAAGTTTACCATAGGTGCCTTGATTCCTTTCTAGAATAACTCAAAGAAGAAAAGAATGGAAAAATAAAGTGAGGGTAGGGAATATAAAGAGGTTCCTCCTGATTCTAAGTATCAGAGCCAAAACTATGGTGTAGCTTTCAGGGAGGGGGGAGGATGGCACCCATCTCTCCCTCAATGCCAGGACCTCCCCTCTCTGAGGACCTACTCACCATGCTCCCTCCGACAGAGGCCAGCACTTCAGACTGGTTGAGGGGGAAACCAGCACCACAAAGCTGCAGGGAGAAGAGGTTGGGAACGTGGGTCTGCTTTACCAGAGAGTCGAAGAAAGGCTCCAGGGAGTCGTCAGGCTTTGGCAGAAAGAGACAAGGAGTGAGTCCTCAGACCGACCTAAAGACAGAGGCCAACTTCCTGTCTAAACTGGAAGGCAAATTTGAAGGCTTGGGGGATGGTCCTTGGGAAAGACCATCTTAAGGCACTGAGATTTGGCAGAGGAAGTTAGCAGGAGCCCTGGCAATGCAAACAAGACAGTATTGATGGGTTCACAGAATCATAGATTTTTTTTTTTTTTTTTGAGACAGAGTTTGGCTCTTGTTGCCCAGGCTGGAGTGCAGTGGCTTAATCTTGGCTCACTGCAACCTTCACCTCCTGGGTTCAAGTGATTCTCATGGCTCAGCCTCCTGAGCAGCTGGAATTACAGGCATGCACCAACATGCCCAGCTAATTTTTGTGTTTTTAGTAGAGATGGGGTTTCACCACGTTGGTCGGCTGGTCTTGAACTTCTGACCTCAGGTGGTCTGCTTGCCTCGGCCTCCCAAAGTGCTGGGATTACAGGCGTGACCCACCGCGCCCGGCCAGGTTCATATATCTTTGATCCCCCTATGCCTAACCTGCTTCAGATTTATGGGGGCCTTTATTAAAGATCTTAGAGTGGCCGGGCGCAGTGGCTCATGCCTGTAATCCCAGCACTTAGGAAGGCCGAGGTGAGCGGATCACCTGCGGTCAGAAGTTTGAGACCAGCCTGGCTAACAAGATGAAACCCCATTTCTACTAAAAATAAAAAAAAATAGCTGGGCGTGATGGTGGGTGCCTATAATCCCAGCTACTCAGGAGGCTGAGGCAGGCAAATCGCTTGAACCCAGGAGGTCCACGGAGGTTGCAGTGAGCCAAGATTGCACCATTGCACTCCAGCTTGGGCAACAAGAGTGAAACTCCGTCTCCAAAAAAAAAAGAGATTTTAGAGTACGTAGAAACTACAGCCTATTCCTGTACCTATCACAGCTTCTGTCACTGTAGTTCTGCCCTCTATAGGGCTAAAATTTAGATTGCCACCCTATACCCGTTAAATAATCCTTTAAACTGATTGTTTCCCTCCTTCCGCTAATTCCCCTTCTCTCTTCTAATTCCTTCTCTGTGTAGTGTGCTGTGTGTGCAGTGTGCATACAGTGTATAGGGCCAAGCCCTGTTCCTCTCACCCTGGCAATCTCAGCATAGGCCAGCCCCAGGATGCCTTCCCAGTTGGAGCCGTTGATGAAGAACTTGTCTGATTCAGTGATGGCAGCAATGTTGGCACGCACAGTGACGTTGGGGCCATGGGGGATGCTTACCAGGTCGGTGCCCAGCTCCCCTTCCCACTTGCCCTGGGTGTAGGGCACATACACACCCTTCCGGAGGTCCCGGTATGTGCTGGACCTGTGGAAAGAAGGTAGAGATTTGTGGATGCATAACCACAACTGGTAAACTGGTATAAGGATCTCAGTTAAACCTACTCCCAAACGCCACCGTATCTCAGGGGAATCCTAGAGTGCTTTCAGGCTGCTCAGCAAAACATCCCTAGACTCATCACCCAGAACAGAGTGTAAAGTGGGCTTGCAAGTAGATGAAGGGAACCATTGCTGAGGCTTAGTCTCTTGTCTCTATTGCTCATATTCCTAGATCTTGAGCTCAGGCCCTGTGAAGAACAAGCCTGGGCTTTGTGCATTGTGCCTGCTGCTGCTGCTGCTGCAGGGACAGCTAGCGGGCATCTCTTCCGCCCTCTGGCTCCATCAAGCTCCCAGAGAAAAGGAACCATTGACTCTCTTACTGCCTTGGAACCTACTGGTACCATTCGAGTGGTAGAGAAAGTGCCAGGCAGGGTGAATGTGGCACCTCTACAGCAAGTTCTAGAGAAGGGGTTTGCACAAGCATCTCAGAAGAGCAGGTTGGTATTACATACCACTTCTGTGAAACGTGCTCAACATGTGGCAGCCCCACCTGTGTTTAATCACACCACTAACCAGGGCTTCTGTGTGTGGTGGGGGACTGGGATGAGGAGCTGGAATGAATGCCCTTTCATCGATCCTACCTGCACCCTCCTCCCTGACTGCTTCTTTTAGATCGGGACATTAAAGGAGGAAACAGGGAAGGTGGTTTTTGCAGCTGCCTACAAGTCCAAGGATAGGATTTAAGCTTCTACTCATGTTTGCACACACAGATGTCTCAGACATTGGTGTCCTCTCATCCCTTCCTCTTCCTGCTTTTATGCTAAGGGGGCTTCCAGATTATCCCTCACTGCCTCTTATCTTAAAGCCCACTTCAACCCCCCTTTCACCAGTCCTCCGCTTTCACCAGTCCTCTTCAACCCCCCTTTCACCAGTCCTCCGCTTTCACCAGTCCTCCGCTTTCACCAGTCCTCTTCA